TACACAAAAATAAACTCAAAATGGATTAAAGACCTAAATGTAAGACCAGACACTATCAAACTCTTAGAGGAAAACATAGGCAGAACACTCTATGACATAAATCACAGCAAGATCCTTTTTGGTCCACCTCCTAGAGAAATGGAGATAAAAACAAAAATAAACAAATGGGATCTAATGAAACTTCAAAGCTTTTGCACAGCAAAGGAAAGCATAAACAAGACCAAAAGACAACCCTCAGAATGGGAGCACATATTTGCAAATGAAGCAACTGACAAAGGATTAATCTCCAAAATTTACAAGCAGCTCATGCAGCTCAATATCAAAAAAACAAACAACCCAATCCAAAAATGGGCAGAAGACCTAAATAGACATTTCTCCAAAGATGATATACAGATTGCCAACAAACACATGGAAGAATGCTCAACATCATTAATCATTCGAGAAATGTAAATCAAAACTACAATGAGATATCATCTCACAGCGGTCAGAATGGCCATCATCAAAAAATCCACAAACAATAAATGCTGGAGAGGGTGTGGAGAAAAAGGAACCCTCTTGTACTGTTGGTGGGAATGTAAATTGATACAGCCAGTATGAAGAACAATATGGAGGTTCCATAAAAAACTAAAAATAGAACTACCATACGACCGAGCAATCTCACTACTGGGCCTATACACTGAGAAAACCATAATTCAAAAACAGTCATGTACGACAATGTTCACTGCAGCTCTATTTACAATAGCCAGGACATGGAAGCAACCTAAGTGTCCATCAAGAGATAAATGGGTAAAGAAGATGTGGCACATATATACAATGGAATATTATTCAGCCATAAAAGGAAACGAAATTGAGTTATTTGTAGTAAGGTGGATGGACTTAGAGTGTGTCATACAGAGTGATGTAAGTTAGAAAGAGAATAACAAATACCGCATGCTAACACATATATATGGAATCTAAAGAAAAAAAAAATGGTCATGAAGAACCTAGGGGCGAGACGGGTATAAAGACACAGACCTACTAGAGAATGGACTTGAGGATATGGGGAGGAGCAAGGGTAAGCTGGGACAAAGTGAGAGAGTGGCATGGACATATATACACTTCCAAACGTAAAATAAATAGCTAGTGCGAAGCAGCCGCATAGCACAGGGAAATCAGTGCGGTGCTTTGTGACCACCAAGAGGGGTGGGATAGGAAGGGTGGGAGGGAGGGAGATGCAAGAGGGAAGAGATATGGGGACATATGTATATGTATAACTGATTCACTTTGTTACAAAGCAGAAACTAACACACCATTGTAAAGCAATTATACTCCAATAAAGATGTCAAAAAAAAAAGAGAAAGCCCAGAATTAAAACCAAGCTTATGTGGTCAATTAATCTATGAAAAGGGAGACAAGAATATACAAAGGGGAAGGATAGCCTCTTCAATACATGGTGTTGGGAAAACGGGACAGCTACATGCAAAAGAATCAAACTGACTACTTTCTCACACCATATAAAAATAAACTCAAAATGGATTAAAGATTTAAATGTAATAGCTGAAATCATAAAACTCCTAGAAGAAAACATAGGCAGTACACTCTTTGACATCAGTCTTTGAAATAATTTTTTGGGTCTGTCTTCTTAGGCAAGAGAAAGAAAAGCAAAAACATACAAATGGGACTGCGTCAAACTAAAAAGCTTTTGCAGAGCAAAGGAAACTATCAACAAAACAAAAGGCAGCCTACTTAATGGGAGAAGATATTTTCAAATGATATATCCAATGAGAGGTTAATATCCAAAATATACAAAGAACTTATAATGACATCAAGAAAACTAACAACCTGATTAAAAAATGGGCAAAGGATCTGAAGACATTTTTCTAAAGAAGACATACATATGACCAAGACGCACATGAAAAGACGTTCAACATCACTAGTCATCAGTGAAATGCAAATCAAAACTACAATGAAATGTCACCTCACACCTGTTAGAATGGCTATCATCAAAAAGAACACAAATAACGTGTCGGCAAGGGTGTGGATAAAAGGGAATGCTTGTGCACTGTTGGTGGGAATCTAAATTGATATAGTCACTACGGATGACAGTATGGAGGCTCCTCAAAAAATTAAAAATAGAACTACCATAAGATCCATCAATTCCACTTTTGGGTATTTTTCCAAAGAAAACAAAAACACTAAAACAAATGAACAAATATAATGAAAGAGAAACAGACTCACATAAACAGAGAACAAACTGGTGGGTGCCAGAGGGGAAGGGGGTTGGTGGATTAGTGAACTAGGTGAGGGATATTTAGAGGTACAAACCTCCAGTTATAAAATAAATAAGTCTTGGGATGTAACATAAAGCATAGGTAATATAGCCAATAATACTGTAATAACTTTATATTGTGACAGATGGTAACCAGACTTATCATGCTGATCATTTTGTAATGTATCCAAATATCAAATTACTATGTTGTACATCTGAAACTAATATAATATGTAAGTCAATTATATTTCAATAAAAAATTCTTAGCAACAACAATAAAACAAAATGAAAAAGAAAATCAAATTTGATCAGAATACTGCAGAATCTGTTAACATGAATAACAAAAAATACACTAGAAGTACTCATGTCTAAAAAATTCAAGATCCCCATAATAAACCAACAAGTTTTTCCATTATTTTAACTTTTGAAGATTATTTCCTTAAATGAAAAATAAACAACATGAGGAAATTTACAAACCATTTTCCAGTATGATCCGTTCAGAACAGAAAACAGCTGCCAATCTGCACTACAGATAAATGTGTAGATAAAAACAGAGATCTAGTCTTTACAATTAAATCAATTTTCAACAGGTTGTATTGATAAATAATCTAAATTTCTGGCCTCTTGCCTTGAACTCTTTCCTGTCTCAATAAATGGCAACATCATCCATGTGCTGCTCAAAATCAAAACCTTGACTCCCATTTATCACTCTTTAATTCTCCTCTACAGTAAATTATCTGCAAGCATTGTTGGCTCTACTTCCAAAACATACGTAAATATGCTCCTTCTCTTTATCTCTCTTACCACTCTCTTAATTCAGGCCATCAACAGCTTTGCTTAGGCTTCTGCAATAGCCTTCCAACTGGTCTTCCTGTTTACACTTCTGTTCTTCTGACCACATCCAACCCCAGAGTTCATCTGACACCTTGCAGCCACAGCTATCTTTTTTGATGCAAGTCTGTACATACCACTCTCCTACTAGATGAATCTAAAATACTTACAGTCTCCCTACATTACCTGGCCCCTACCTAACTCTCCAATTGCATCTTAACTGACTCATCTGCTGCATCACATTATCCTTCTTTCTGTTTCTAGAATATCCAAGCTAGTTACCACTTAGGGTCTATCTACTTGCTATTCCTTCTAATTGGAATGCTCTGTTGCAGATCTTTCCATGTTACTTCCTTATCATCAAGTCTCAATTCAAATGTCAATCCCCTCCCAACCCCAAACCCAGAGGCTTTCCTTGACCATCTCATCTAAATTAATCCCCAATCAATTTCTATCACATCATCCTGTTTAACTTTCTTCCTATTATTTATTACTACCTTAAATTACCTTCTCTGCTTCTAAGTTACCCACTTATTCTCTGTCTTCTCCCTTGAATGTTAGCTCCTGAGCACTGGAACCTTATCAGTCTTATTCACCATTTACTACCCAGTGCCTAGAAAAGTGCTTGGTACACAGTAGGTGCTCACTATTTATTACAAGAGTGAATATACTTAACAACAACAAAAAGAAGCAGCTCAAAATATGAATAATTATCTTAAGATTCAAAAAGAAGTATTGTATGAATTTATATCATGTGATTTCATGTTACACACATTAACAATATCAGTGGAACTTATTACATATTAGAGATCCCAAATATTAATGAAAAATACATTATTTTACTAAGTTACTTTAAATTCATTTCTAATATAAAACCTTTCAAAATGAGGAATTTTAAATCTACTTATGAATGGGGAAGGGAAGCTATATGTCTTTCTTTTGGCAAAAATAGAATGGTCTCTTTAGGACTGAATCAGAAGCATTTAAAGGAATATGCTGAGAAAAAAAAGGTCAATTTAAAAAGTGAATACCAATTTTTAAGGCAGAGAAAACCTATTGAAACCTGAGGGAAACAAAAGAAATTGGTTTCCCAAGGGCCAGTAAATCATCATGTAGCTAAACACGATCTCTGAGGACTGATGGCACATTCTTGACATCTGGAAATGGTAAGTCCAAAACTGTCCAAGTGCCCAAATACCACCATATCAGTGTTCTTACTTGCAAGACCCACTAGCTAGTCACACAATTAATGAGAATGATTCAAATGTGTGCCTTGGGGAAATTATAAATTACTACATCTCTTGGACTTCTAGGGTCTTCCCGAACAGTCAAAGCCACAGAATTTGTGAATGCCAGGGGCCCCATCACTGTATTTGGACTGTTTCAATGAGACAATAAACTACCTGGGATATTAGTTAAGATTTTTAAAATAACTAGGAAACTATTTTCTCCAGTGGAGCTATTTACTAAATACCACAGAGCATGAATACAACCACTGAGATTACAGACAGTAGCAAACAAAAATGGTGCTGGGCACTTTATGTTCCTGTTAATTGACTGTCTTTGTTATACAACATTGTCGGAAAAAATTTGACTACAATTCTAACTGCAAGCCACAGTACTCATGTCAATGTGAACTACCTGAATATCTAATTATGAAAAAAAGAAGGCAATTTCACAGTGGAAGCATTGTCCTAATTCAAGGAACCCAGCCATATTAACTGATTAGCCTGACATGTAGCAGATAGCTGAAAAACTTTAATTTGAAAGATAATTATTTTTAGCTCATTAATATGCTTCAGATTAAATTCACTGGTTTTAATGGGCCCATCAACTTGACGACCTGAGAAATTAATAAATTTTGCATGCAGTAATCCTAGGAAATTTATACAGCCAAGCTACACATCATTACAAGGATTACCTTCACAGTAGGCATTGTCCTCTCGAAGAGCCCTAAAACCATCTCGACAGCTACAAACGGCCCTGTCATTCAGATTTCTGCAGACAGAATTCTCCATGCAGTTATGCCTTTCAGAACAAAAGTCATAACCTACAAGAAAAAAGAAACTTATTAGGGTAAATAAAATCATAACAAAGCAAATAACTTTGTCTCCTTAAAATCTTTCTTTAATTTAGAAGCTATATTTCTCTAAACGATTAAGTTGATATCTTCATCCAATGTTTATAGGACCATATGCTATGTGTACTAAAAAGTTTTTGAGTGTGTTTAACTCAATTAATTCCTTCTTGAAGTTAACTCAATTAATTCCTTCTTGAAGTCTCCTCTATTTCTGACTTTATAAATGCTATCTCTAGTCCCTAATATTCCAATTACAGTCCTCCAAATATTGGAAACAAAGAAAGATTCTTGGAGTACAAAATGAAGATTTACAATATAGAAGACAACACAGTGAGGAAGGAAAGTGATCTGAGAATTACTGATTGAACACTGTCAATAACTATGAGTAATACAGGCCAAGCCAGATGAGATGTGCACATTACGTATTTAAGAAATGAAACAGACAACTTGGCATCCTTAAAAAACCCCACAAAACTCTAAACGTATAAAAAAAATCACATCACTTTAATCTAATTTTCTCAGGAAATCTGCAAGACAAGGTATGTCCACTCAAAAGAAAAAGAAAGTTTTTATGAATTATAAAGATTTCACAGATTCCAGAGTCTTTATGTAGAGGAAAGAAAAATGGAACATTTCATAAACAGTGACACTAATCATGTGTAATTTCTCAAATCTCTTTTTCCTGTGTGAATCCCTGTTCAAAGATCATCTAAGATGCTGAAATAAAAAGCTGGAACACTGGAATCCATATTTAACAGAAATTATATGATTATACATCATTCAATTTTCAAATTGCTTGATGCATAAATTTTCTGTCTAGTTTTACATTGTCTAATGAATTATTTTTTCACCATGTATAAAAGAAAAGAGGTCCAGAAGAATACATTTCATGTAGCTCAGAATAAACTCATCTGCTTACATGCAAGAAAAGACTTTTACTTGAGCAAATCATGAAGATGTAAGTTCTACACTCATCTTATTTGTTATCAAATTACCATACAGTGCTGTGATTCAGTGAAAGGGTGAACTAAGCTATACCACAGCCAAAAGGTATACTCTGGTTCAGCACAATGGTTGATGTCCATTCCAATTGGTTTGTGCCCATAATGACTATGTTGAATATTGACCCAGAGTTAAAACAAATCTCCCATGAAATGCAACTACAATGTATAGTAAAATAGTGTTTGTACAATTTAATAAGCCTTAGGAAGGGTGAGGCTCTCAAAATACAGTGATGCATTTAAAAAGGATAGGAAAAATCAAAAGAATTAGTGATTTCTACAGAAATAAAATAAAATAGAACAGAGTGTATGAAGATTGGAAAAATATATAGTCAATAACAGCACTGAAATCACTTGACAGTTTTCTTGACAAGATTCTTCACAATCTAAATTCTCATGATTAAGGCTGAAAATTTAGAAGCAAAAGGTTCACTCTTAAGGAAAGGAAAAGTTAAACATGTTTTCTCCTTGGGTCTTTTTATTCCCTTCTTTAAGTAGCTAAATTGAGACCATATTTCTTAAAATGTATTCCAGTGTCTTACAATGCCTGATGAGGGATAATTTCAGCTAAAAAGTCATCCTCATTCTCTATACCAATAGCTCAGCACATCATCAACCTAAAATGAAAATGTTCCACAAAATCACTTTATATTTATTCTAAATTAAAACAATGTTACTAAAAAAAACTGGCCCACTCCTTAAGATACACAGAGAATTAAGGGACCATGTTTTAACAGCGCTAAATCTGTAGAAGTTTACCTGTAATGCTTCAAACAACTTTTAGAGAGCAGTGACTAAGAACAGGAACTGTTCCTGACGCACTTTTACTTTTCTTTCGTAAGTTTATATTTTTCAAAACTATCTTTCAACACTTCATTTTGATGCATTTTTTCTTCTCCTATTTTTCAGACTCTGTTCAATCCATGCCGTCACTGTCTATGCCATAAGCCTCCTCTATTACAATCCATTTCTCGTCTGTATAAGTAACGGTAAGACCCCCTCATCTCAGCATCAAATATCATGCACACGCTCACCATGCAGTGTTTAATTGCTGCAAGAGTTTTCTAACTATAAGATAACAGTATGATTCTACTTTTCATTGTTTTAGGTTCAGTTATGGAGTACTTCACTTTTCATCAGATGAGTTTTTTAAGTTAACCTGGAGACTTGAAAACTGAAAATTTTGTCAAATACTAATTTACTCTAAACAATGTCAGATAGCTATTTTGATTTAGTCTCTCAAGAAATAAGTTGATTGAATCTATTGGTTGTTTTACTGCTTAGATTCAAAAATGCCAAGGTTAAAATGTTAACTACTGATGGTTAGAAAATTCAGACTCAGTTAAAGGGGCTTGTTTCCAATCTATAGGGAAAAACTTCAAAAAAAATCAGAGTATGGGTTGGCAATAAACCATAGTCCTACCACCATTATAGCCACATTCCTACTCATCTGTGCTTGGTTTTTGGAGTTGAAAGACCTGGATTTACATCTGATCTCTACCACTTACTGGCTATGTAAATTACTAGCTGTGTAAGTTAATTAACCTTTCTAAACCTTCAGCTTTTCTCACCTGTAAAATTAGGATAATATCTACCTTGCAAAAGGTTCAAATGAGATCACCTATGTAAAAGTGTAATAGTATAGCATTTGTTAATAATTAAAGCAGTTAGAGTATTACTAATAAGCCATAAGCCAAATGTGTTGAGATACCTATCATAGGAGAAAATTCAAATATTTGCTATAAATGGATAGATTAATGATCTAATACAATCAGGTCTTTCTTTTATTTCCTCCTTTGGGTTTTAACCTCAAGGATACCAAGTTTTCTATTCCTTTTAAGCTTTCCAAATTTACATGAGATTCTTTCATTAAGTGTACTAGATCTTTCTATAAAATATTAATAAGCATTTTTCTATGACTGAGGATACAAAAGGGTAAGGAAGGGTCGGATACAAAAGATTATGCGTAAGAACAATACAAATAAATGTTATTCATAATAACCAGGAGAAAGAGAATGCAATAGTTTTGAGGTGAATATTTGTTGGTTTTGCCTTACAGGTGTCTATTCCTCCTTTTTGTGGAAAAAAACAAAACAAAACAAAAACCTAGTCATACCTGGGATGAACTCTTACCCCTACTGTTAGCCTAGGTGCTTACAGGAAAATGGACTACACTGCCCACTGGTTAAGGCCACACCAGTCAATGCATCCCACTGGTATGGACATAGTAATTTCTTCAGGTCTGAGCAAATGATGCAGTTCAGGTTAACGCAGATAATTGAAACTCAATTCTGGGACCTTTGTTCAACTCACGAGGATATTGAACTTTCTCTTCCACCTACTTGAGTATCATAATAACGTGAGCATAAGAATGTCAGGGAACACACAGAGTCTGAAAATAAGGCCACCTCAGAGGAGACAAACAGAAAGATGCATCTAAGCAAAGGGGCGAGATTTGAGATCTGAGTCAAGCCACTCACTGGGGCCATGTATTCCACTGTTTGCTTAAGTCAGTTGCATTGGGTGTTCTATCAATTGTACCTGAGAGAATATTAACTCATATCAGTATCGTCTGCAAGATGATGGATAATCCTGATTTTTCCCAAAAGGTAGTTCACGTGCATGGATGAACATTTAAAAAAACAGTACTGATAGCAATGGAATTATTTAAATGTGTATAAAAAATACATGAATCTAACAAATAATCCCATTATTTCATGGATACTACTGCTTAGGAATAAAACTAAATTTTCACAAAATGAGTTGACTAACAGTAGACATTAAAACATTAACTAAATAGTGTTATTTGTGGTACACAGATAACAAGAATCATGAAGATGTAATTGAATGATGTGGGAAACTATGAATTGTCCAGAAGTTGGGTGCAAACAATTTACACCCACTCAGCCTTATGCACACGGTGCCTCTATCACTTCTAATTGTAAGGCACGACAAAGTCAATGCTAAATTAAAGTTGGGCATCCAGTGAACAGGACTTGATGGTCTGTAAGCAGAGAAAGGGGCGGCCAAGGGAGGAGAAGAAGAATGGGACGGGCTGAGATATGAAAACATATAGTTTCACGTTATTTCTGTACCTTTCTAAGTCAGAGTCCTCGCTGTATCATGAAGTCTCTGTCGTGTTGTAATTTGTCATAAGCTTCCTTGAAAGAGCTCTCAAATATGAAAAAAGTGAAAAGAACATTCCTGCTACACTGTTCCTGAGCTGCTACAACGGAAGACAGCAGGGTACCTAGAAAACAGCCCTGGCTGGATTTGACTTGGTGCCTAGAAATTTGGAGCCTTATTTCGGTGCACAGCTTGGTTTCCAACCACCGGTCGAGCCTCCAGTGGAAAGGTCAACAATTTAATCTCATGCTCTGCCCTCAGGGAATATTTACTAACTGTTGTTGAACAACTTAGTTTTTCAGATGTGAACATGGCATCTTTAGCACTAGGCAGACAGGCCTGGAAACTGGAGGCCAACCTTACTACAAATGAATTTGTCACAATATGTGTGTAGGAGTTGACTCAAACTTTAAGCCTTCAAAACTTGACGTTTTTTAGTTTAAAAGTCAGAGAATACCAGGAGGACTCATTTGTTTATTCTATTTATTTGAAGTCAGAAATGGAAGTAACCTTTATTTTAAATGGTGCTAAATGTTTCAAGAAAGGCCCACTTGTCCAATTTCAGTTCCAGTTCTAAACCAGAGGTTCTCAATCCAGGCTGAGTAAAATAATTTATTGAGGAGTGTTTTTTAAGGTGATACCAAGGCTCCATCCCATATATCTGAAATCTGGCTCTGAAACACTTATTCAGGAATTAGGAAAAGGTATTTGAGCTTCTGCCTTAGCGAAGGCAACTCCATATTGGAAGCCCCAGTTCCATTTTGAGAAAAACCTATGACCTAGGCCTGACTAAGTTATAATATGATTAAATGCTTAAAGAATAACCTTCTACATGCTTGAGAAATTCCAGGAACTACAGGACATTTCAAACCTGCAGCTACAGATTAACTGCTCTCCCTACACAATCAAGGTGACTCGGACCAGACCACTGCACCACCAATTTCAAGGTAATTATCGAAGCAGACTGTGCTGCTCCACACATAGCCCGCTACTGCACACCTCTGAAACTTTTCCTTTACAAACTCCTGTCCCCTAACTGGCAACTCGGAGATGGTTTTGGGGACACTAGTCCATCTTCCCAGGTTGTCGGCTTCCTGAATAATACATCTTTCTTTTTCCACCAAACCTTGTCTCCAGAACATTGACTTTTGAGCAATGAGAAGCCAAACCTGAGTTTGGTTCTGGCTCTGGCCGGTCACATATCAATGATATCAGGATCTCAGGTGGAGGGGGTGTAGGTCATGGTATATTTTGTCATTGTATTGATATTTTGAGTGGGCTGTGTAAACATTAATTTTTAAAACTATAGGCAATTTAAATGTAACCAGTTTTGTAGCTAGCTTTTCCATTCTTAATTTGCTCTTGGTAATGTATTAAGGCTCTTTAAAAAGAAATGGATGCAATCAGGCAGTCTTAATTGAATGGATGGAAGAAGTAGCTAAAAAGAAAATGAAAAAACTGCACCACCCTCCTAAAAATGGGAGAGAAGGATCTTATGTTTCCTTTTTAATAGATGAGATTAAAAGGAAACAAAATAGTATATGTTTTATAAAGTTTCTTTTTCTTACTTTTTTCCATTTAAGTTTTATTTTGCACCAATAAAGGCTATTATTAAAACAAGTGCTAGTAGCTCATTTAAGGCACTGTTATACAGTACCAACTACATGAGTTATGAGTCTCAGCTACATCCCAGGTGTCATACTAGGTATTAAGAATATAGAGATGAATATAAAGACCCAGCCTGTTACATTTTGCACCTCAAGGTGCAAAATCCAATGAAGGAGACAGATTCACAAACACATAATTTCAGGATAACACAAGAAGGCACATATAAATTTCATGATTGGTAGGGAACATAAAAATTCCATATAATTAATCCTTTAGTTTAATACTTAAATCTATAACAAAATACCAAGTTTAAGAATCTTTAGTGATGGGCAACTCACTGCCTCCTGGGCAGCCCACTGCATTTCTGAATACCTCAAGTTTTACTGTTTTCTTATACTGAACTAAAAATCTAAGTTCCTTCTACTTATTGGTCATAGGCTTATCATCATAGAGGCAACACAGAATAAGCAATGCATGTCTGATGGCCTCTCTCTTCTTGGTAGTGTAGAAGCCTATCAGTGAAGGGGAGTGGAATTGTGAAGAGAGGGATTTGAACAACATGGGAATTATGCTCAGACAATTATAAAAACAGACTGAAGAGAAAAGAAAGGAAATCGCCCCCCACCCCCGGCAAAAAAAAGAAACAATAAAATAACTCAGCACTGTTGTGTAAATGTTTTCAACAATGCTATGCTGACTCAGGACAAGTACACAGAGAGAAGTATAGAAATCCAGAGCTTGAGACAGGTACAGTACACCCTGCAGAAATGCATGGGAGCATCTCGATTTTAATTCGATAGTCTTTGGAAATAACTTGATTATAAAAAGTTCTATTTCCTGTCAGTTGAAGTAGCCTCTTAGAATGACTCATGCACATAAATTTTATTTTACAGACAAGCCTTACCTTTACAAACTTTGCAACAGCTATGAGACAAGGTAATCTGATGAGACTCTGGACAATACAGAGCTGGACAGCCTGAACTCTCAACCAGCTTCATGGTCTGGTCCTGTCAGACAACAGAAAATAAAAGCTTCAAACCTCTTAATTAGGAATAACTCAGAAGTTTCCAGATCCGACATCCAAGACATTTCTTCGAACATGAGAGTAAAATTTTCACCCTGAGAACCTCTGCACAGGTCACACACTCACTTGCAAAATAACATTAAATGACAACTGAAAAGCCTTTCAAATGGACAAGCAGCTCTGGGAATGGAAGCATGCCACACTGCAGCCATGCCTTCAATTTCCAAACATCAGGGTAATCCTGAAAGATTCTGTTAGTTTACAACATATTTGCACATCCAGATGACAACTGTGTCAAAGATACAGCTTGAATTCTATCAATAGCTCACTTTGGAAAAAACAATAAATAAAACCCGTGCTTTTTAAACATTCTCATTTCAAAGTTTCCTAAACTGTTATAGATTATCCCAAGTGAGTGTGATGAGGAACATTGGGGATCTCTCACAAAACTATAAGGAAAATGAGGGCAGGATTTATGTCTCTTGAGCATGAATGTCTTGCATTTTTTCTGGCATATAATAAGCAATCGAAAAAATTTTCCTGAATGAATGAATAAATCAATGTAAAACGATTATAGTTCTAGCCACCGAAGTAGATAAAACCCTTCTCAAAGAGAAACCAAAATACAGAACAGAATACTTTTCTGATAAATGTAACAGCACTGCCCTTGAAGCAAACATTTTGCTTCTATACTGTCAACCTCCAGTCTCTTTAAGAGCGAGGGTCATTAACTGTTATACTATGCTTACCAATACATAAGTAATAAAATAACCGTTGGAACTTGAAGGCTTCTGTTTTAATACTGCTCAGTAGCTTAGCTTTTTAGATATCATTTCTATAAGTACTGCTTTTATTGAAGAAATCGTAATTTCAATATCTCCCTCTTCCTGGCTTATCAATGGAAAGGACCTTCTCCAAGTCACCATAATGGCAGGAAAAAAAAAGAAAGAAAGTGTCAGAAGACATGTATACAGTGGAGTCAAACGCTATTCTTCCTTTGGTTTGACGGTAATATCCATTCTAATAATCTTATTTTCAGGACCACCGTGTTTTTCTGTGTTACTATGAAACTCACAGACCCCCCAGGACACATTTTCAAGGCCACAAAACTGACAATAAAGGAACAAAGAAGGACTAGAATTGACAGCCCAGAAAATGGAAGCCTGAGAGAGATGACAATTATGTAAAATAGCTCAGGGGCCTGAAGGGAGAAAAAACAATGGGAGTCCTTAATGTCAAGAATTTAGTGAAGAATACAAAAGCTTTATGAAATTCTGGTAGAGCTATGCTGTAGAATCCATAGCCACTAGCTACAAGATTTTGACAACTTTGTATGATAAAATAATGTAAAATATTTCATTAAGAATTTTATATTGATTACATTAGAAATGATAATATTTTGGATATATGGGGTTGAATACAGAAAATTTAGCCCAAATAAAAATCACACGTGTGGCTTGCATCATATTTCTACTGGACAGCACAGCATTAGAGGGTAGGAAGTGATTTCTTTTGTTTGAGCAAATAAATGGTAACATTTATTCATTCACCCAATATTTATTAAGCACCTGCAGAGTTGCCTATACACAGACTTCTCACAAATCGAATTTAAAATAAAATCACTTTATAGGTATTTTAAAATCAAATAGGAAGCTATCTCAGTAAATTTTAGATCATAATTATCAGTATTATGGAATACACTTGTCAAATGAAAAGAACACACACACACACAAAGTGGAGAATCTTCAAATGCCCTCACAATTTTCAGATTTAGGGCTGATATTTCAAAGTTAGCGTTTACTTAGAAACCAGCTGATAAAAGTTTTCCACCTTCCTTGAAGTAAAATTTCTCTGATTTCCTTGGTGTTGCTAGATCTCACTCCAAGCCTTCCAATCCTTATATCTACCGTGGGACCTGCTCCACTCAAAACAGCACTGGTGAAGGGATGCTGACGGAGAAAAATCTATCTGGAAATATAGCTTCAGCAACTGTGTTAGTGTTCCTATGCCCCAGCTCCCTTAACTTTAAGATGGTAACCTACATCATGGGAGAGCTTATTTAAAGCCAAAAGAAGCAGCTAGAATACCTTATAATGGACATGGACAAATCAGAGCTTTCACGTTCCAGAAACCAAATCTGTCACAGTTTTGCATCTTTATGTCTCTGCCTTGCTTATCCCAAATGTCTTCCAACTTAAGATGCACAAGGTATACAGCTGGATTTTTCAGATTCAACTTATCTTGGCAAAATTCTGAGGATTTTCCTTTCCCCAACACTTAATCATATGAATGCTCACAGTTTATTGCCAGCAGAGTGAATCACTTATCTTAATTTTCTAAATAACCTATACATACTAAATCATCCCCACAAACCATGTACAGGAGGCATTTGAAGAAGAAAATTAAGGATCAAATGTAAATGAACCCTAAAGCAGAAACTTTATATGTAGACAGTTTCCTTTAGACAGAATATGGCTTGAAATATAACATTATGGTCAAGGAATATAAAATCATAGTTTATAAAAGGTAAATGTGAAAAGTGTTATGAAACATATTTAGTTTTTCAATCAGTAGGTCAAGAAGCAGACTTAAAATGAATCACGTTTGCTTCAGAAGCATACGTCAAGAGCACATTTATAAAACATTCCCCTTAAAATTATTTAAAAGATTCCTCCCAAAGGAATTAAGATCAACATCAATCTCATCTCCATCCAACACCTAATTTTTATTAGGTAAATCTGGTCCTGATTTTAACTGGACTGATATTTATCATGAGTCAAAAGCAAGAGTGAGAACAGGCCGAGTCTAATTTTATCTAATACATTTTCTTCAAAACAGCAAACAAGGAGTTGATTTGCGTTTGGAAAATGTAAGACAACTTCATAAAACTTTAATATGACAAAAGAGTGTTTTTATTTATTGGGGAAATTATTTTACAGCCACTAATTTACATGATTGCAAAAACAATGAGAATCTCTATACATTTGAGCTATAATTATCATCTTAAATGTTCTCTTTGCCTTAGAATTTTAAAGGTATTACAAGGGTGAGATTTTTAAAGGAACATTTACTGTGTTCATGTAACGGAAAGAAATTTGAAACACACATGAAGAGCTTCCTTACCTTGCACTCATAGAGAACACATACGCCAGAAGAGGAGTAGACCGTGTTTCTTTCTCCTTCAAAATAGGTTCGTCCATGAAATTGGCATACAGCTTTGGAGTAAAAAAACATATATATTTTTAAAATGTTTCATTAAGAAAAATAGCTTACAGGTGTTCAGATCATTTTGCCACAATATTTCACATGTCCTTGTGACTTTTCAAGGTGTTTGAGTAACCGTAAACCTAAATTCAACCCAATATAAGGCACATGTAGGCTCAAGTTATTTTCATGCCCATTAAGTTCAGAGAGTAAAACAAGGTACAAAAAGGATAAGGGGCAATGGCAAGTCAGAATTAAACTCTGAAAACGGAGTGCTGATAAGCAGACTCAAAGCTAATTACTTGCCTGTTAGATGATGTCCCACTTCAGGGCACATTAAGCAGGTGCTCAAAGAGCTACAAATCAGGGGCAACACAAATATGAGAAAAGTTCATTTTTATATACCATTACAGAATTTTTTTTTTTTGCGGTACGCGGGCCTCTCACTGTTGTGGCCTCTCCCGTTGTGGAGCACAGGCTCCGGACGCGCAGGCTCAGCGGCCATGGCTCACGGGCCCAGCTGTTCCGTGGCATGTGGGATCGTCCCGGACCGGGACACGAACCCGTGTCCCCTGCATCGGCAGGCAGACTCTCAACCACTGCGCCACCAGGGAAGCCCCATTACAGAATTTTAAAACAGAAAATTAGAAAGAAACTATTTTAATTCCAGTACATACATGTAAATGTTATGTTTTATGGGTTAGTATCATTTTATTTGTAAGTACATGTGGGTTAAGGCACCCTATTTAAGATGTTGAAAGGTCTTAATCTGGGCCTGCCTTGCTTCCATCACAGTTAAATAAAATTTTAAGATAGAACTTCAGACTCAGTGGTGAAAACATTTTTAATGAGTGAAGATGCATACAAAGTATCAAAGAATTTTTTTGAGACTTTCAAAATATTTACAATTCACAGCAAACATTTAGCCAATGGAAACTGCTTGCTTGTTTTGAAATGAATGTTTCACACTACCTATGTTGACTCATCACCTAAACAGAGACAGATTTACCCTGAAGCTAATTAAGCTTAACTTTCAGTATCCTTCTTGGGCTTAGCCCTCCATTCTAAGACTCTGAACCAACTTTTGTTTTCACAGATTTGCACTGTTTTCCTTTCAAAGGACACTCAATATTGTAGATGCTTTGGAGCTCCATAACATCTAGATCAACCCAAGCTAATCACTTCAAAAGACCAGAGGAAGCAGTCATCTGATAGGAAAAAAACTCAAGCAGTTTGTTAGCCCTATTTACTAAATCCAATTTTTAATTTTAACTACATGGATTTTATAAAAGGGGTGTGTATATTTCCTTTTAATTCCATTGTGTGAGTTAGAATAAAGTCCCTCTTCAGAATTTATATATCCCATTATCTTTAAAAGTATCACATTGCCTAAAAAAATTTATAACAAAGAAATCAGACATACTTCTATTAAATACTGAGTATATATATGGTTGTAGAAATATTCATATTTAAGCCAACTTTCATCTTTGCCCAAAAGTTAACTGATTATTTAAAAGCTGCACATTTAAATAATGGAAAGCATGCACATTTAAAGAATGCCATCCTTCAGCTGATCTCCTTACTCAGCTTTTATTAACAAATTTCACTACATAATATATATTACTGGCAAATTGATTTTAAAGTTTTGGAGGTTGTTGGAAGTGAATACAACTTACTTGCATAAATTATATTACTTAAAAGCTGGCTGAAGCTTGCTCACTCATGAATATTCAAACTGAAAATAGGGAGTTGTCAGTTGCATACTATCTATCATATATGAATTACAATAGCATGTGTATTTACTTAATGAACCTGATTGATTGTAAAATGTCTATATCCAACGTGTAATTTTTAAGATTGTGCTTTGTTTTTTCTTATGAGATTCAATAACCTCAAAGTACCAAGATCTGGCTTATGGCATGTTCAATTATACTTAAGTACCACATTTTATAAGATAAGGAGAATAAATAAAACCTTCTTCTATTCAGCACCTGCCAGTCAAAGGTTCCTAAGCCTATTATATTATACAACTCGGTAACTGCAGTCTATTCAAGTCCAAGGGTATGTTGAAGAAAAAAATATGATGTTCCAAGTCTTTCTTAGAGCAAAGGGAAAAGGAAACACTGTAAAACCACAAGGGTAAATTCTTCTTATACGAAGTCTTATGATAATTTAATACTCATGCAGAGCAGATGGACCTTCTGCTCTAAACTCTTAATTCAAAAGACTCAAATAGGCAACTTGTGAGACAATAGGGCACCAAATGGAGCTTGGCAGAGCGAGAAGCACAAAACGAATGAGATCACAATTACTTCATTTCCTTTCAATCAATCAGCACAAACAGGGTGAATTTGGCTTAGAAAGAACCCAAAGTGTGTGATTTTTGTCTCGTTTCTTTTTTGATCAGTTGCTGTGATTCTCCATAATTCTGAGGTTTACTCTAAATACCTAGTAATGCCATCAGGTATGCCTTCCCTAGGTTCTTTAGGGGAAAAATGTTAAGAAACTCAGAAATATATACCTATATATATACATATATAGGTATACATTCCTAATCATTCCTAAAAAATACTACAAGGAATCTTGAAAATCCATAAGGATGGCTCTGGGACGTAGGAGGAGACTGCAGGAGTAAAAGTCGTATTAATTTGTTGATACATTTAACAAATACGTACTGAGCTCCTGCTAACATGCCAGGTAGTCTGCTAGGTACTAGGATTCAAAGATGAAAGAGACATGTTTCTACCCCTCACTACTGAGTTGGGAAGACAGACTCGTACACAACTAACTATAATAAAAGCCAAGCTCAAGTGCTATAACTGAGAAATTCATAAGTGACAGGTAAACACAGGAGACAAAGTGGTAAACTGGGGGCGGGGGCGGGGGCACTGGATCAAAGGTGAGGAAACAAGGGCTGGAGAAGGACCCAGACTCTGGCAATAGTGACAAGTCATCATCACCCCAGGGATAAGGAACAGGGAGAGAAAATGGTTTTATTGGAGCCCACAGTGAGCCAGAGTTATGAAGGAGAGGCAGCCCAGTGGGAGTCGAAATCATGAGAGACACAGGTACCACCAGAAACCCAGCCTGGTGCAGGGAAGGAGCAGGGGAGAAACACGGCCAACTCCCTCTCTTCTGGCCTTCTGATTTCCTGCCAGTGCATCTCATTGGCAAACCCTACCCAAAGCCAGCTGGCAAGGAGACCAGGGTGATACAGTCTGCAGAAGTCCAGCTCCTGGGGTACAGAGTAGGACAGAGAAAGACAGGTGGGGTGCGTGGGGTGTCCAGGGGAAAGAATAACCAACCCCCAGCACTGGTAGCTATCACAGTAATTCAATTTAGACCATGAAGAGAAATAGTTTACAAGGATAGGTTGCTTACAAGAGCATGAGAGAGTGGAACACAGTAAAAATAAATTTTAAAGAGGGAAAATTGAGACATTTAAAAAATACAGCTCTATTTTTAAAAAAAAACCCAGATAGTTTATCAAAATGAGATCCATAAGCAAGGAGAAGGCAAAATGAAGGAACTGGACAGATCAAGTGTTAAAACAGAGGAGAGGAAACAGATTAAGTGCTGCCTTGATTTTAACCAAGGCTAGCCCCTGTAGGTATCAGGGACAAAGCCTCAGGGATAATAATGATCACTCTGGCTACCACACTGGCTGCAAGAAAGTCTCTAGAATTCCCTAACTGAACTGCACCTCCCTGCTTACCCTTCCCCAGCACAGTATAAGAAATCACTTCCTCAACAAAACAACAAAGGAATAATCATTTTGCTGTATTGATTTCTTCTTCAATTCAATTGCATTAACATGTTCATAGACAGAGGCTTCACTTCTTTCCTAGTTTTGGGGTGTGTGTGTGTGCTGGTGTGTGCATATATAGCAATAAGTTTCTTGTGACATAACTCTGGATTCCTATGTCCAAGTCATTTACCAGCTTAAAGCAGAATTATGCCAACTAGGCTGCATTTTCAAAGATCTACGCTAAGTGATTTATTGAGTATATTACATGTACATATTCGAAGGTAATGAAGCCTCTAGGGGGAAGGGTATTAATTCATTGATACAGTCTTATCCCCTTGCAGACTAAGAAGCTAAGCCCCCATGCAGTCAGACTAACCCATAGCACTACTTCTGCTCTTAAGTTATTAATATTAACCAATGTCAAAGGCATATTCACTGTGACTCTCATATACACATACACACACACACACACACACACACAATACCATACACACACACCAGGGGGTACCGTTCACATCATGTGAATTATTTCACTCAGAGCTGTCCAATGAACAGTCTATTAAGCCATAGGGAGAGAGATTAACTAGAACTTGGGGAAATTCAATAGGATGCTATAACAATTGGTATACATGTTATACCAAGGTTATATTAAATATCACTAATCACATAGTTAATAGCACCATAATTATGAGAAAATCTGAAAAAGCAATTAATGTGAATTATTTTCACTTAATCTCTCCTCTATTTTAACAATTAACAAGAAATAAGAAGACAGGAAATGCAACAGATGCAAATTTGAGACTCTTCAGTTGTAAAAATGTGAAAAGGAACTTATAGAAGAGATTGAGAAATGGATAAGTGAAAGAAGCCAGTAAAACTCTAAAAGCTGTAAGTTACACATTAAAATCATGATTCATTGGTCTGGTCATTAATGCAAAGATTGAAAATGCAGATCCCTCTAATGAGATCTAAATCAACTTCTGCAAACCTTTGTAGAAAGAATTATTCAAATCTATCTAACAATATTTTAGAATATAAAAGCAAATAGACATATATTTCACTTCTAAACATTTCCTCAGTGACTATATATTTAGATTCTTTTTATTACTGGATTGAAAATACATGAGTCTACACTAAATTTCCCTATTGGTATCATCACCTTTAAAAATGATACAACACAGAGGGCAGACAGCAGAGCAAGAAGAACTACAATCCTGCAGCCTGTGGAATGAAAACCACATTCACAGAAAGATACAAAAGGCG